GCCCGGCTATGTTTCACATTTTGAACTGCAGCACCAGTTTACAGGGATTCCACATTTGGCCATCAGGCCCTCAGGGGATCTTCTGTATTTGAATTACTGATCTTGAGGTGTTTGGCAACAGATCATGGCATTGCTTTCCATATCCTGGGAACTTCTAGGCTAAGAAATGACCATAGATGAAGAGTCTTTGGCTTCAAACTGATGTGCCTGTGGACATAGGGGTTTCTGAGAGAATAACTGGGTGTTGGTAGTCTGTGATACCTATCCCCTCCCCCCCAGCACATACAGTCTTATCTTTAAAATTTTAGTAATTTGTGGTACATCTGGGTGGAAAATCCATGTCAGACCTCACTAACAATTGTTCACTAGAATGTCAGCTATGATGATGATTAAAACTCTAAGTTGTCTTTGAGGAATTGTAGAGATCTAAGAAAGATAGATAGTATAAAATTAAGTTCTTGACAATTCAATGACAGGATAAAGATGAATTTTGAAAAATACAATGACATTGTGAAATTGAATGAACTGCAGAATTGATTGTGAGTACTTAGGAAAAGGAAGCATGATCTCTTAGAACTAGTACAAATTCTCTGCAAATTAACTTTATTTTCAAGGCTGACAGAATTGTATTTTAGGACCTGAGTCCCTGATATAGTAGATAAAGTATGTCATGCTATCTTTGTGGGCAAGTTGGAGAAATGTGAGTTTGGAGTACTCAAGTGAATTTATATTTATTGAACTCTTATATAAAGATGCAGGATTCTGGAGGACCTGGGAAACCTGCTGATAGAAGAGGAATTATTTAGCCAGATAAAGAAGTTTTCTTTTTTTTTCTCTCCTAGGAAATACAGGCATGGCAACTTTTTCAAACACTCAAAGCAACTATGTCACCAAAGAGGTATTAGACATCCCTCGCATCTCAACTAGGACAGTTTGGGATCAAGGAGGCTGAATTGTCTTAATACAAGGGAAAAAGTTTTTGTCATTAAGTACACTGGAATGGATAGTCTTTCGAGGCAGCAAATTACTCTACTGAAGAGTTTACGCACAGGCTGCACACTGTCCTGATCATCGTCTACTAATTGCTTGCATTGACCAAGAAGTTGGGTAGGATAATTTCTTCTGGGTCTTTCTAAATGCTTAGATGCTAAGATAAGGTTGAAGAAGGAAGTTAGTGGTTGGACAGCAAACAAAAATCTTTCCCTTTGTTATGAATGGCAAAAGGAACATATTATGTTTTATCACACAGAAAAAGATTACATTCTTATGTGCTCTACAGTCCAGCTGAAACAGGAATGAGGGAGCCTTCTAAATGCCACGAATAACAAGAATTTCCTAAAAGTATTCCATTTTATCAAAAGTCCCCAGGAAAGGGGAACATTGTGTTTTTCCTTAATCAAAAGCAATTATGTTCCTGGAATTCATCTAATATAATCCATTCCAATCCAATCCAATTAGAATTATAATTACCATATAGTAATTAGAACCATGAATATTACATTCTTTCATAATCTAGGAGCAGTTTTACTGAAAGCCAATTTCCTTTCAAATATAAGTAAATATGTTCTCAATGTGTAAAGTTAACATGGTTTTCCTTTTTCTTCTTGTTCAGATTATTGAAGGTCTTGATTGCTGGTTTAGAAAGTTATGTTATCATTCGCTGGTAAATGGATGGAATTGGAGAACATCATTCTGAGTGAGGTTAGCCTGGCTCAAAAGACCAAAAATCGTACGTTCTCCCTCATATGTGGACATTAGATCAAGGGCAAACACAACAAGGGGATTGGACTATGAGCACATGATAAAAGCGAGAGCACACAAGGGAGGGGTGAGGATAGGTAAGACACCTAAAAAACTAGCTAGCATTTGCTGCCCTTAACGCAGAGAAACTAAAGCAGATACCTTAAAGCAACTGAGGCCAATAGGAAAAGGGGACCAGGAACTAGAGAAAAGGTTAGATCAAAAAGAATTAACCTAGAAGGTAACACCCACACACAGGAAATCAATGTGAGTCAATGCCCTGTATAGCTATCCTTATCTCAACCAGCAAAACCCCTTGTTCCTTCCTATTATTGCTTATACTCTCTCTACAACAAAATTAGAGATAAGGGCAAAATAGTTTCTGCTGGGTATTGAGGGGGGGAGCGGGAGGGGGTGGAGTGGGTGGTAAGGGAGGGGGTGGGGGCAGGGGGGGAGAAATGAACCAAGCCTTGTATGCACATATGAATAATAAAAGAAAAATGAAAAAAAAAAAAAAAAAAAGAAAGAGCAATTTGAATTCTTTGGATTGAGTAACATATATTAAGAAACAAAGTTTATATCATACTCCAGAATCATGTATGCAGTATAAATGAAATGGAATGTTTGAAAAGTGACACCTGCTATGCACTAGTATAATACTCTGGGATTTTTAATTTAATTAAATATAACAATTAAATGCTGATCATGACTGACCAATTTCATAGGATTTTTAGGTTGGAAAACACTATTCTAGTCAATAGTCAGTCACTGAAACTCAAATAATGGCAGGATGTATGAGAGAATTCAGGTCTTGTCACTTTTGACACTTGATAAACTTGCTACAGAAAGATAATTTTTGCATATGTAGTGAATGAAAGGTCCTGAGGTTTGCAATACATTTACACATTCCTTTTCAGTTTCGTGCCATTTTTTTTTTAACCTGTCTCCCCATCTTCCCATAGAAAACCACACACCCCTGCAGCCTCTAGAAACATGAAAGACTTTGGGAGAGATAGGTAGATAGATTGTATCCGTTCTGTGTATCTTAAAGCCTTTGCATCTAGAAAAGAAAGTTTTGGCCTAAAGCATTCTGTTTATAAGCACATTCAGATGACTGTTGTGGTAACAGAATTGCTGATAGGCTGCTCAGAGCGCTTAGGTAACCATTCTTTTATTATCAGGAAGGCAAGTGCAGTTTTTAAGATCAAAGTGGGCACCTCCTAGAAGTCACATTTACTACAAAAGGCTAAAGTGTCCACATTCCTGGGAGTCAAGGGGACCTAAGGCAGAGACAGTGGTATTCAATAGACCAATGCAGTTTTTGACAGGACAACAGCTACCTAAGTGGCTGGCAGAAACAAATGGTAATCTCATTCTGGGAGTTACCAATCCTGTCAGAGCCAGGGTTAAGCAAGATGCTTGCTATTGTCATAGCCACTGCCAGGGTTGCCTGACAAAAAATTCAACCATCCATGCAGGTACTGAGAAGACTTTTGTAATTTTCACCGTGGGTGAGCCTTTTGGTAGCATTTTGATACCACTGTTTTAGAAATCAGGGTCCCACTCTGCTATCACACTGGAAGTAAAGTAAAAAGTCATTACAAGCAGTCACTATTACAGTATTTGGAAAGTCATCATAGGTGAATACTAGTTCTTAAAACATGGTGACTTGGGATAGCAGCAACTGCACTGTGGCATTTGTTTTCAGGTGTCATCTAAAATAGCTCCGCACTGCTTGGAGCCCTGTTGTTCTCCCATCCCTCTCCATTTTTTTAAAAGTTTGAAACAAATTTTAACTTTTCATCTTATATTTTAAATTTGACATCTTAAAAGTGTATATGTTTATGCTGTATGAAGCTTTGAAATACACACACATTGTAGAATGGCTAAACCAAGCAAATTGGCATACACATTACGTCTCCCACTGATTTTTTATCTCACCGTGAGCCTCTGCAAAACTTTCCTATGGTTACCCTCCGTGAAGTCTGAGGACCATCTCTCAGCTGTGCCTACTTCACATGCTTATTAGAAACTCCCTTACTGAGATCCCTGAAATACTTTTCTAGTACTTTTGAATATTCATGAAGGTTTAGCCAATGCCTATCTGGGAGTAATAAAGGTCCTTCATGATTTATTTTCAAACACTTTCCAGTAATTTGAGAGTCTGAAGAGCTCTAACTTCAAAAGTTCTAGATATTTAATGAGGATGCTTCATTTTACAAAAGAAATGACTTCACTTCCACTTTACCCAGCTAAGGACTTCTGAAATCCCCTTGCTTACCCATGAGTTCATCTTTCTAGAGACTGGAATTGAAGAGGCTTTTTCCTGATGATTACTGAATGTTTATTAGAATTTAAAATAGTAGTGTCACAGAAAGTGGCCTTTGTGCTCAGTAGCTTTTGTACTGCAAACTTTTATGGTGTGTATTATTGATGAAAACACAATATTGATTAATGCATCTTAAATGGACTTGAACCAAATTAAAAAATTATAAAGATCAAAAAATAATATGCCTTGACCCATCTTTTGGCTAATTGCTGGAGAAATTTCACTGTTCACCATTAATGGTCTTGGTAGCTGTCAAAGTAAGCCTTATTTCTGTTTTCTTTTTATTTATTTATTTTGAAATGCATAATTTTCACATCCATGAGGTGGGGGAGAAAGAGGTTTTGTTTTATAGAAGTTAATCAATAGATTATTGCTGTAAATTCTTCTCTAATTAGTACCTTAATTAGGAGCAGGACCCTCAGAGATTATTTACTTTAGTTATGTCATTTTGATGAATTCCCTGTGTTTAAGTTATGGAGGTACCTACTCAGGAGTAGGTGCTACTTTAAGTAGACAATTCCCAACAGGGTGGGGTTCATATTTTATCTCAATCCCCAATAAAAGAAAATAAACTTGTTAACTTCAACACTCTTTTAGAGAAAAGTAGAAAGGACAACAAGAAGAAAACATCTAAAAGGGGTTTACCTGCAGTCTCCCACACGTTTTTCTGATTCTTTTCATCTATAGAACACATACTTTTTATTATGCTTAACCAAGTCTGAGAAGGGGTGATCCATGTATTCAGCACAGCTTGTAATTTTAATTTTCTGTAGCTCATAGGTCTGACCTTTCTCTGGCGTTTTGCATATTGTTACCACCTGTTTTATGCCATTTTATCAGAGATAATTGTCCTCATGGGTCCCAGCTTTGACATGCCTGAAATGAGTCATTTGCCTTCACTCCCTTGGCCCCTCCCTCAGCTGCTACTCACTCAAAAGGGTCGCTGGGATCTGCCCTCTGGAGCTCTGGAGGGATGGGGATTCTTTTGTAGTACATTTCCCAGTCGAAGACTCCTCTCATGGCGTCCCCAGCTTGTGCCTCATACCCAAAGTGATTGTGGTCAATGACATCAATCATGGGACACACGATGGTTTTGTGGTTTAGTGCAATTTGGTCTGAAAAACGAAAGCATAAAACAGGAAATGACATGCCTGCCTAGGTCATCTATTATTTTTCAGCAAAGAGAAGCCTGTGGGTCCCTTTAATGTATCAGACTTGCAGCCTTGCTCCCTGTCAGCATTCCAGAACTTTCCTAGAATCTCTGAATGCTGTGGACTTAATGTGATGGGGCAGTGATTAGGTCCAATTAGAGTGTTTATATTTTTCTTTATGAAAGTTATGTCCCAGAGAGACTTGCAGCAGTCCATTTAGCTCTACCTCTGTCACATTTTTTGCTCTGACCTGTCCCCAATCTGTCATTTTATCGTGCATCTAACATGTGTAGAGTATAAACAGTACTTGTGTTTCTTCAAGCATACAGCTACAGCCTGCTGAGAAAATATTGGGCTGCTTTCTGGAGGTTCCAAAATGTAAATATTTAACTTTATGGCTTTTGTAGCATCTAATCTTGTAACAGTCATGATGTCTGTTTCCCCCTAAATACTGACAGATCATACATAAAAATTTACTTATCAAACAAAAGCTGTCAGGCTTGACAGAAATTTTGTTCAGACCTATTTTGCCACTGTTCTTGGAGTCAGGATCTGCTTATTAAACACTACACTTTTATCTTTCTCATAATATTAAAAAAAAGTAAGTTGGTACAGTACTCTTGCCATGGTTCCTGTTACTATTAAATTCTTGAGCAACTACTAAGTGATTTATAGTGATGCTATTTCTAATATATCCAGCAACCCAGGAAGGTGGTTACTGTTTGTCTTCTCCAGTTTATGTGTGAGGAAACTGACTCACAGAAGTTAAATAACTTGTCAAGGGTGGCTTAGCTTTTGAGAATAATAACCAGGATACAACCTCTGCTTAACTCTCCAGTCGGTCTTTCCAGGTTGTCATGGTGCGTCTTTATAGCAGAGAGGTGATTTATATTTTTTCTTTCTTTTCCAGCACCTTCCTTTCCATGTAAATATTGTTATTGTGATAACATTAACAGCCAGCACCTAGAACTTGCATTTGCATACTTCAGTTCACTTAGAATAGCTATGTGTGAAGTATCTTTCTTCCCCAAAATGTGCATTTAATCAGTATTTATCATAACAAACCTGTTCATTTATTTATCAAACAAAATACTTTCTGACATGTAGAATGTTTAAGTATGAACACCTGCTCTCTTGTTATTTGGAAGAACTTTGGATATAGCATGTGACATTAAAGAAAGGATATTATTTAGAAATATTATGGGCTTTGGTTATTTCCATATCACATTTTTTTTTCAGAGATCCCGAAGTAGATGTAATCACGTTAAGGATAAGCTCTTATAGTAATGAAACTGTCTTTTTTTTCCCCCAGAAGTTTCTCCTAAGCATAGACCAGGAAATGGAGGGTTTATTGAGTATTATAACAAGGTGACCTTATTTTGAGGACACTGATAAAACAGGGTATAGAAACAAAAAGTCCTGTAGGAGATCTCCCTTTCATACCTACATGCTCATTTGTTCATTCATGTGTTTGTTCATTCACTCATTCATTCATTTATTCATCTTTTAATAGTTATTGAGTAATCCTTAGATTCTGGGGATATAGTGAGCAACACCAAAAACATCATGTCTTAGGAATGAAGCAAAAACAATGAACAAATGTAATAAACATATTTCATAGTGTTTTAGAAGGTGATAAATGAGACGGAAAGAAAATAGGAGAGGGTAAAGGGACTTCGGAATTGCTAGGGTATGGAACAGCCCCAGGAAGCCTTGGAGAGCCTGGAGGTTGCCTTTGTCTCATTTGAGCTAATTACTAGATGAGAGATCCCCAGCACTACTTCAAGTTCACGTCCACTAAGGGCTCTCTAAACTTCATTTTCACCTAGGCAAGCCTTACAATGTATTTTAATCTTTATCTAAATGGTGTTTCCCCAGAGATGACAGAGACCATCAGTGACACATTGGAAATATTTCTTATATCACCTCTGCAAGTATTTTAGTATTATGGTTTCAGGGACTTTTTTCAATCAAATTCAGAATCAGGTTGATTTACAAGTTCCTTGACCAACAAGAAGTCCCAAGGTGACCGGAAGAGAATGAGTTTGTTAAATTAACTGTCAAGTTTCTCTTCAAATTTCCTTTCAGCTCTCATCCAGCTGTACTAGCTTAGGGTGAAAGCTGTATGACTAATTTTTCATCCAAGGCTTCTGCCTACATTTCAATTTCCAGGGATCAAACAAACAGACTCTTAATAGGAAATTGAAATTCAGGTATAATCCCAAGGTGAAAAATGAACCAAGAAACTGTGTGGCTCCGCCTGTTTTTTCATTTTGGATGATGTTTCAAGACAGTGATAGAGGAAAATAAAAAAAGATAGCGATCCTCAGCTTGAATCATTTCTTCTCCATCAGGCCTTCAGAAAATGAAATGCTTTAATGAGAAAGAGCAGGTTATGGGCTTCCCTTATTCTCTTTTTCTTTTTAAAAAATATTCCTTCTTTTTATTGTTAGGTTCATAGTGAATAATCAGAGACTCCATTAATTGGCATTTAGGGATTGCTTTGGTTCATAAATAAATTAGGCCTTTTGCTGACTTCCTTGAGTATTCAACACCATAGGTCAAATTCGGTTTGAGGGAATCTCACCGTTTTTGATGAAGCTCTAAATTGCTATGTCCTTGGACAAGGTACTTTTAATTAAAGGCTCAAGGAGTCTGTCTGTAGGAGCACAGAGACTCCTGTTGATTGGGATGACTGGGCAGTCATCTGTGCAGGAGGGTGTAGATTGGGTGATATGGTGGAGGGTTTTTCTTGCTGGTTGTTCTGTTTTAAATCCTATACAGTTTCAATTGATTTTTCTCCCCCACATCTTTCACTAATGGAGTTTGGCTGGTTGTAGTTGAAATCCTACACAGTAGTCAATAGCAAATCCTTCTTTCTGGGACAGCTATTGTTGAGGCAGTATTTACTGGCTCTACTTCTGAGGCCAGGGATATATTTACAATAAAAGATGACTTGGTGAAATTTTGAAGAATAGGAAGGCATGCAATATATGCATACCAAGAATTATTTAGAAAGATATCTTTTCAGTAATTCAATTTATTTCTTAGCTATAACTGGACTTTATATCTGATTATACTGTAAAATAAAACAAAAAATATTGAAACTTGAACTGAACCACACTTGGGTTTTCTAGCTTAAATTACATTCAGTTTTTTCATGTTTCTAACAGTGTGCAAGTGTGATGTGACATAGCCTACTTTCTTTCCCTCTTCTTAGCCTTATAGTGAGGATTTAAGACATATCCCCTGAGAGCAGCTCAGAGCCTTTGAGGGGATTCTATGTAAATATGAGGGATTACATACTTAGCAATATTAAGCCAGAAGTAAAAGAATAGCAAAAATTGGCATTATAAATCCTAGAAAATGTCAAATACTTACACTATATATTCTGGGCTGAATAATTTTCTTTCCTTCTTTCATTAATATTACTGCAATAATTGTTAAAGTATACGTATTTGTGTGTGCATTTTAATCTTATTGTAATCATAGGCTGACTATAAAAAAGTTTGGGGATTATTTTTCTTTTAATATTTACTCAATGAATATAATTCAATAAAGGAGGACATCTAAGATAAAATAAATATTTTAAACCATAGGTTCAATTGCACTTGGTACCATATGAAATGTCAACTTTAGCACAGTTTTCTAGTTACCTCCTTGTCCTTCACAGTGGTTAAGATACAATTCAAAGATCCCATTATTCAAATTATCGAGGGGGCTTCTAAGATTTTATTGATCACAAACTAAACAGAAGAAAACCTGGCACTCCCTCTGTAGGACCTGATCTCCCAGCTTCCCTGGTTCTCAGGGTGCCTTTGTGACAATGTGTACTCACTAAGGAGTGGGGGCAGCCAGTTCACGTTGACCTCACAGTGGGAGTCCAGGAATGTCAGCACCTCTCCTCTGGCCATAGATGCCCCCAGAAGTCGAGTTCGGATGAGCCCTTCCCTTTTTTTAGTGCGAACAATCCTTACTTTGGAAAATCGAGCCATGTATTCTTCTAACTTATCCTTTAAGTGTTCTAGGAAAGAAACAGAGGAGGCACAGGAAGAATGCAAAACATTAATCACAAAGGAATTACTCATGGGTGTTGGGTATAGAGAGTATGACTAATGAATTTTAGCATAACTTTTCAAAGTCCATTTTTCTCCTCTCCTCATCTAAAGGAGAGATACTAATAAGATTTTATGTTTAGAGACTTTGTATTTTTATGTCCCCAAATACTTCATAAACTATAGATGCGCCCTTTGTTTGAATGCAGTAGAAGTCCGTGACACCCCAGAGCTCATGCAGTTACTGTTGGCCAGCGGCCACCATGTTAATCCTGGCCAATGCTTGCCAAGGTGGGCATCAGCCCTCTGGTTCCTGCTGTGCAAAGTCAGATGAGTATCCTGGCATATGGGATCTTCCCAACAAGATAACTTTACAGCAAAGCTTTGTCTCACATTCTCTGTTTTGAAAATAATGCATGTAAAATGAGAAAGAAAAATATCAGTCAAAGTCAAATAAAAAAGAAATGAACAACTTTCTACTCCCACAAGGCAATAGGCCACTGGTAAGCAAGTCCAGCTTTGGCTTCTGATTAAGTGGAAAGGTGACTGACTTAGTGTTGAAATAGTGGAACAGGAAGATAGCAGAAATACTATATAGTCATTTTGAGCTTAGCTATTTAATATTTGGAAATATGTCTTCACCTTTTAAATTTTGAAATACTTCTTCCCTTAATTAAAAGCAAACAGTGGGAATTAAATCAAATAAAATTATTTATTTACAAGAAAAAACATTTCCTACTGTCTGTATTAAAAAGCACAAGCTTTCAGTCCCTTTTAAGCCAACTAAATGCACTTGGTGGCTTTCTGTGGGATATGTCTTATTTTACATTCCTTGCTTTCACTCTCCCATTCTAAGGCATTACAAGAACCTCACTAGAATTTTTGGCAAGTGTAGCCTCATAGTCATTGAAATGGAATCTTAGTATGCAGCATGCTTTCTAGTTTTTATGCTTTCCATTTTTTATTTTGCAAACTTTCTCTGTATATCTGTAATGAAAGGCAGTGCTATTAAGTCTCCTCCCATAATGCATAGCAGTAGGGATTCATGTAGGATCTACAGTTCCTTCCTGTTATTCTATTTAACAGATACCAGAATTACCCTGTATTGGAGTTTCTCTCTATATAAGGATTTATTCTTATTTCTTTTTATTAGTGTAATTAAAAAATCTTAATTTCCTTTTTTTTCTTGACTATTCTAGAATTGTTTCAGAAGTGGGTCAATTAAAACAATATTTAGTTTTCTAATTTTCACTGTAAGAGAATGAGATAATTTAGCTCTAAATATGCTCCCCTCTACTTTGTTTTCCACAAAGAAGGAGAAGAAACTATGAAAAGCCAAGATTCCAGGGGTTGGAGTCAGAATAGCCTGGGGAGATTAAGTTTGAGAGGTCATGCAAACTCTCTAAGCTTGAATTTCATTGCATAAAATATAAGGAAGTTGGGGATGTTTTGCCTTTTAGAATGTGGTACATAGTCAAGCTTTGAGTTAGACTGTGGTTAGACACCTGATCGTGTTCACCCAACAAATATTTATTCAGGCAGTAAGTGGAAACTCCATTAAGTAACTTGTACTTATGAAGAGAAAATAGCATTTCTATCTGAAGAAAAGCCTTAAAATACTGGGCATGAAATAGAAGAAACAGAAGTTTCTATTTCTTTGGGAAAATTTGATAATCCATCATCTTATATCTATTGTAAATGTAAAGGAAAAGTTTCAGAAAGCAATAAACTAGCATATATGAACATATAATCAATATTGTGATATCTCTTCCAAGAGACCAGTTCTATGTGTTCCTCTTTGCTTTGAGTGAACCTATCTCCAGCTCAGACCCCTTTTGCTCTCTTTTCAATACCACACAGGCCTGTTGACTTCCCTGTGTGCAAGCTACAAAGAGAGATTTCCAAGGACTATAGAACACAGTGCCGCTTGTGAATAAGCCTGAGGCTTTACTATCTTGTCAGGGATATAAAGCAGAAACAAGTGACACATTTGCACAATCAAAGGCAGTGACTAAGTGATGAGTGATCAATATAAAGATGTGGTATGTGCCAGAGTCTTGAAAGGCCGTTCTGTGAGGATGTCCTATAGTAATAAGCATTTAAGAAAACTTTATAATCTCATTCTTGTAATTTATTTAGACATGAATATCTTTCTGTTTACAAACAAGTGGCATTCTGCTAGTTTATTAGTAAATTGGTTATTTGGACCACAGAATGGATTGTTTCATGGAATAGCATCTGGAACAGTTATTGGGGACTGAAAATAGATCATGAATATTTGCTAAGCCCACCAAGTGTTTTCCACTTTTTAAAATCCTCATTGTTCTTTTATCAGGTTTACAATTCTGAGTATCATCTCAGCCCTCCAGGATGCAGTTTCTTCTTTCTCCCCCAATTTTCAGGGATTAAAGAGGTTTTTCTCTTATAGGTGGATAAGAGAAAGTCATTCTAGAATATTCTCATCAAAGAAAGTGTTTATCTTGAAGTGATTGTCTCAATTTCAAATTTAGACTTTCGTATTTCTTGGTTTATAAGAAATTCTCTGGAACTCACTGGGAAAATTGTTTATAGGTTTTCTTTCCCTCTGTACACTTTTCCTGAAACTGTGATTCTTTTCTTATACCAAAGTCCATTTTTATGTAATAAAAAGATTGTATGGTGTGTATTCACTAGACACAAAGGGTTTGACCCCCAAATAGAGCCTACTAAATGTTTAGCCCAATTTCCTCAGTTTGAACTTTATAGTGATAATTAGAGTGATTTGCCTCAGATGATGATCTGGTTGACTGCCCTTTGGAGTCTATTCTTTCTTAGTAGTTCAGTTGTAGCATGTAATTACCCATAACTCACAATGAAGGCAGGTATCATCAGTCTAACTAGCAAGTTAAATTCTCATACAGGGAAGTTACTGGAGATGCGGAGATGACTTTAAATTAAAAACATTTTGCCTTTCTTTAGTATAAATAATTTTTATATTCATTTCTAAAATATTGTTACCATAATATTAATCATAATTTTATATTATTGTAATTCAAGCATAGCATCTTTGAAAATCATCTTTGAACTCATTCAATTTAAAAAATTCCAAGTAATTATTTATATTTTTATAAAACAGGCAGATTTCCATAGTGACTGTGAGATATTTCTAGAGCCATACTATTGTTTGGTCAGTGTCCCCAAACTATAAGATGATATTTTATTGTTAAAATCCACTGAGTAATATCTCAATGACAGAAGAGTGAACATAACTTCAAAAATACAGTTTTTGCTAGGATTTATTGTAATATTGTGGAGAAATAATGAAACAAAAAGTTGTACTCAAGTTCAACAATTTTTGTGTCATACTAGTGTCAGAACTACATCGAGCAATTTTCTGAAATGTACTTTACTCTTTGTTTCAGAGACTTCATTTATACTTCATAAATTTATATAGAGAACATATAATTCATTAGTGAATTTTTAGTGTTTATTTTACTAAACACCAAATGCTAAAAATTCATCTTCAATGATTTGTGTAGTCAAGAGTATCAAAGATGAGAGTTCTACCCTTTTTGTTGACTGACCACATAGCTCTGGGTAAATCACTTTGTACAAATTCATCTCATTTTCTTTGACTGTAAGGTGAAGGGAATAGGACTGGTACATCTTAAATATTCTTCCTAGTTTTATGATTCTGTGATTTCTCTTGTGAAGTTTTACTTACTAAGTAGATCTAATCCTATCAAATGCTTAGCTTTTCCTAAATGTATCCTAATGGTTGTATTTTGGTATGTTGGCTATGTCTTACTTTTGGAAGTAAGAGCTAATTTAAAATAAAGCTAATATATATCAAAGGTTTAGTCAAAAATCAAGCTCTAGGGTACTTTTTTGGTAAATATGGTATTCATCTAATCTCCCACAGTTCATCATCTATAATACTATCACTGATGTAAAAGTAATGATTTTGAAGCACTGTAAATTCATCAAAGATTTAAGTCTCTTCAGTAAGTTAGGCTTATTATGCTAGAAAAATAAAGTAGCAGGTTTAGAAAGTTTTCTGGTCCATCTAAGATGAACTTTTCCCAAGAAGATAGACAGGATAGTGACCATGAGTATTATAGGGTATCCCAGGTGGAGGATTCCCAAGAGGCTAGACAAATAGCAGAGGCTGGTTCAGCAGTGGGTACTGAAGTCCAGCAATGTGTTGCTTTGTTCTTTCTATCTCTTTTGAACTACCTAATTTATATTTTGAAGGGAGTGAGGGGACAGAAGACACTGTTGATCTAAAGATACGGATTTCTGTATTTAAGTACACACCAATGGAGGTGAAATTCCTTTGGTATTTATACTTCAGTATGAGTAGATTGTATTAGAACTTTATGTTAAGACCTATAGAATATATGTTAGTTATTTTGGGTGATGATGTATAGTTATGAGTTCTGAAATGAATGAATTTTAAATACACAGAAATATATCTTAAAGTGTTCTGGTTAGTTCTTACACAGGAATATACTATGAAGTACAACTCTAAGCATTCTATGTAATCTGAGGTTTTACCACAGTGCCAAGTACTTTACAATCAGAGAATATGATATTCTTCCCTTTCTTAATCTACTTGGCATATGTCATGTGTATATTTAGACTTAAAGTGGAAGTGCTAAGGATAACTGTCTACTTAGGAGGACGTGTAGAGACTTTTTTACATAAGAGAAATATGTAAATATTTCTCTTCTCTATTTCTGATTTTAAGTCTTTTGCTAAATTACAGAAAATTGTCAGTCTCCTTTTGACCCAGTTGACCACACTAAATCCTATTTTATAGGATTAGAATATAGACATCTCACAATTATCTATGCAGCACAAAAATTCCTACTAAGAAAGTAGTAGAATTGATGAAACCAATTCAGGTGCTTCTATTATGATGTCAACTGGGTCCTATACCTGGCTATGCTATTTTCTATTCTTTTAATATCAAAGCATCTTAAG